TCAATCAATCAATAAGGTACTGAAGGGTATGCATATAATAGCTTTAGATAGCCAGTGTTGATGTGGTATGATTATCACTCAGTCTTTAACAAAGTTTTAGATAGCCTAACTGTGCTGATGTGGTATGGTTATCACTTTATCACTCAGTCTTTAATAAAGCTTTAGATAGCCTAACTGTGTTGATGTGGTATGATTATCAATCTGTATTTAACATTGTAAAAGACATTTAGATAAAAGTATTAGATAGAATGACTGTACTGTTGTATGATTATCAATCAGTCAGTCAGTATTTAACATTGTAAAGACATTTAAAAAAAAGGTATTAGGTAGAATGACGGTGGTATGATTATCAATCAATCAGTCAGTATTTAAGACATATAGATAAAAGTATTAGGTACAAGGACTGTACTGTGTATGATTATCAATCAATCAGTCTGTATTTAACACAGTAAAAGACATTTAGATAAAAGTATTAGGTAGAAGGTCTGCTGATGTGGTATGATTATCAATCAAAGGAGTATGAATAGTACAAATGTACAGACCAGTTTTACTGGTTAGGACCATATTGTAAACTTGATTAGGCAGTATGGACCATGATCTATCTATATCTATCCTTAATACACCCACATGTACAGTACAGTAATTGCTGTAGACTTTATTAATTAAGCATAGTGAGCTATTTAGTTGTAGTTGATGAAGGCCTCCTTTGGTAAATTGGAGGTCAAGGTTTTTTAAGAAGGCAAATTGTTGAAATCTGTAGTGAAAAAACAACAAAATAAAATGAAAGGTTAAAAAAGTAAAGTGAATTGATTGCTTACTAAAAGTAACACAAGATAGAGGAGAACAGTTTTATGGTACTTTTTAAAAACTGGCCTATTTTGTTTAAAATGGTATCAGTCCATGGCATGAAATTAGCTATATGAAGTACTTGAAGAGACAGTCAAAAATGGTTTATCATTATACACTAATTTTTTTTTAAAAAAATTCAAATTTCTTAGGACACTGGATGGGTTTAAAACATGATGTGAGAAACAAGTTTGCAGTAAGATGTAAAGGCAAAAAAATAAAATTAAAAATATTTAAAAAATAATAATAATAACATAAAATAAAGACATGATAATATGAACTTAAAAATGTAAATTAAATTTAGTTGAAATTAATTCTTTTGAGGCAATTGGAATTTATTTCCATTTTATATGTAGAATTTTAACACCAGGATGTGTACTATAGAGTGGAAATAAATACCAAATAAAATATGAAGACATGAAAGAAAATGATGTAATTAATATTGTCTAGAATGTCATGTTTGGATAATCAATAATTGATTAAGTGAAATTTGCACATAGGTTAGTGTAATAACAGGTTGAAACACTCACCATATTTTGATGCAGCAAATATTATTTTACGCCATCTTACAAAATGGAACAGAACAAAACCATGATGCTTTATAGTTATCTTTCTCTATTACATGATAATTATAAATGGATGAGAAAATTGCATTCATAACATTATTTAATCAACAATTCACTCTCTCCCCACCCAGCCATAAAAAAATCAATGAAAGCTTCATCAAGGAAGATTGGTAACAATTATTTTGTGGTTTTGTTGGTATGTATTTGTAAGAAAATTATAAATGGTTGATTTTTTTAGTAGAAAATTGTGTGGTCCTATTTCTAATTGATATAACTTATCAAACAGAATCAAGGAACAGTGTTGCATGTATTGTACATTGTTATATGTATGGTACATTGTTGCATGTATTGTACTATTGTACATTTTATGTATTATACATTGTTGCATGTATTGTACATTGTTGTATGTATTGTACATTGTTGTATGTATTGTACATTGTTGCATGTATTGTATGATATCTAAGAATTTATTTTTAATGCTACATATTTAAATTTTTATTTTCAAAACTAAATTTGAAATATTTAAAACATCAACACTTTCTTATGTTTGTCTGTTTTTGAACAAATATGTGCAATTAAAAAACATTGATTTTTTTTTATTTCATGCTCAAAAATTAAAAATATACTGAAACAATAAAGTTAGTTTTATTTGGCCTTTTATCCTCAACATCAAAAGATAATCTTGCAGGTGAAGCTGTGATTCTTTATGTCTTTTGACAATTTCCAGTTCTGGTTGTTGGTTACAGAACCAGTGGGTCCATCCAACTGATCTGTGGTCAGTGGTGGCAGCCTGTAGAAAATAAATCAAGTTTTTGTGATTGGAAAAGAAGTGTGAGTGGACTTTAGCCAGGCAGGCACGTGGCACTGCCAGTGAGGCGATAAATGAAAATTGATGAACACTATTTTTAGCTGACCCAGCATGTCAGAGTGGACACTGGTCACTTCATAGGGGTTCCAGTGGGTGCTGCTGGCAGCATACAAATGTAGCTGATAACAAGTAAAATGCAGAATCCATTAATAAATGAAAAAACAACCTATTGTCAAATATTGATAATTGGAAAATCTTTTAAAATGCTTCTTGTTCTTCTATCCTTGCATACAGTCACATCTATGATGGTTGACATTTATAGAGGAGTTGAAGTTTGTTTTCTGTTTCAGTTTAAATTCACAAGTCTCTATTTTTTACTTACAATCTTGTTTTTCAGCAAAAACTTCATGATTTTATCCGTAGTAATTATTTTTATGGCCAATACATGGTAAGTGTAGCTATTTATGTTTTAATCCATTTTCTGTTCTTCCATAAATTGTCCACATTTATTTTGGGAGGGATGGATCTCTAAACCCATTAAAAATATCTCAGTGAAACTTGGTAGATGTATTTGACATGGAATCCAGACAGGCCATGTGCTATTTGTAATTCTTTGGCTTCCTTAATTTTTGGGTGTTGTCTATTTTTTATTTCTATCAGTCTATCATTTGTCCACTCATTCATTTTATAACTCTCCACTATTAATCTTGCAACTTGATTTCTGGTGTTTTAAACATTTTCATCAATTTTTTTTTATTTGTTATATGTCTACACTTTTGTATCTGGGACAAAAGTCCAGAATTAATTAAAATTTTTCAAATTTGATGCATGCAGAGTAATAATGTCTTTATTATTTCTAAATTTTTATTTTTTATTATCTCTGTTTTTGACACTTGTGACTGTCTGTTTAATTCCATCCAACAGTCACTTCATTTTTGGATAAAATCTACTTATTTCAAATTCCTATATATGAAATCATATGCAAATTATTTAGATTTTGGTAAATGTTTTGGCAGTCTGTTTTATCCATAAAAATGTTAGTTGCTGGATTGTAATTTACAAAACTGTTCAAAATATAGTTCAGCCAAAACTGCTGCACATTTGAAGTTACACATGGCATCGTTAATAATATAATATTTTGCATTTAGTCCTTTTGTTACCAAGAAAATGAAATGCAACACGAGTCATAAATTAAGAAAGCCATGGTAGTTCAATAGGTAGATCATTGGACTCTTTAATTCAAGGCCTACAGGTTTGCTGCTTTGATGTGTCATGAGAAGAAAAACAATTTAACTCCCTGTAACATATTAAAAGTGCTGCAATACCCACCTTATTATATGTTTTAAAAAATATTTTTTTAAAATAAAATTTCAGATTCAGTTTGTAAATTATTTGGTAAAAAAAAGTTTCATACTTGAAAATATTTTTTTTTAAAACTCAGAAATCAGAATAAAAAATAAAATCTGCTGGCAGTTGGCTTGTAATGATAATATACCTGCTTTGTTATAAATGTATTCCACTTTATATTGTCTGAGATTTAAAAATTTAATTTGTCATACCCCTTTGGAGCCTCAGCACAATGGACAATTTCTTGGGTGAAGATGATCTTTTTTGCTCATCTCTCATGCACAAAACTAATTTTGTTTAATTGAGTGGTGGCCATCTCTCTATGACTTGACCACTGGTCAGTCTGACCCCTTGACCCCAACACAAGAAAGAAATGACCACTAAAAATTAATACCCCCTAGCAGCTTCAAACAACAGCCATCATAGGTTTTGAGAGAGATTGGCAGGAAAATGAAATTTCATCTGGCCAAATACCAGGGGATTTAAAAATAAAAGATTTATAACCATCCTGTCTTTGTTAGATGTCTGCACATCTGTGAGAAGTGCATCCCTTTTTATTGGAGGGAAGGTCCACATTTTATTGGCTCTACAGAGACACAAGTGTCAAAAATTGCCTTTGAAGTCAAATGTTGGTAGCAAGCAGCATAATTTAAAAATGGGTGTTTGTGGTGGATTACTCACCATTAAAATTCATCAATTTAAAAAATTGCCACAAATAAATGATAAATTTAATTATGCAACTGGCATTAGTAATTAAGGATATTTTAAAAAAGTGAAATATATTTTCAAAGATTCTTAAAATATTTTTTTTGTTTTAAGAAAAGTTTTGCTAACATTACAGTGTTATGTGTGGAAATTTAAACATTATTTTCAACCATTTTTTACTTGAGATGATAAATGTGCAATCCATGTTTTTGTTTATTTAAAAAATAAATTGTACTTTAGAAATATATAAAATTTGTGCAAAATGTCAAAAATGCACATCACCTTTAATATAATGTATCTGATAGAAAAATTCCAGTTTTAGAATCTTTATAAATTATATATTGAATACAATTTTGGGTGAAGTGGATAACTTGGATTTTCAAAGATCATACATGTTTCTAAACTTCTGTTTAGCAAATATCAGAACCATCCAATTTTCTGGACAACAAATTTTCAGACCTATTTAATATATAGCTAAATTATGTGATGCTGTTGATATGATATAAAAAATTAATGTTGAACAATAATCACATCTTTGTAGAATTTTGTTTTCTATTTTATGATTGTTTCTATTGATTATACCCCTACATTGTGATATATATATATATATATATATATATATATATATATATATATATATATATATATATATATATATCAATCTACCTCAATATGATATGAACTTCACTTTTTAATATATTTTTTTTACCACTGATCATATATGACTACACTGATGGCCTAGTGGATAAGAGTGTCCACCTCAGATGTGGGAGATTGTGGGTTTGAACCCCGGCCAGAAGACTTATCAAAATTATACTAACAGCTGCCTCACTTGGCACTCAGCATTGGTTGGCCTGGTATCAGGATAATGTGACTTGGTGGGACATCATGCTACATGTCTGCAGCATGATGCCTCAGTGCTAGAAATCACTAAACTGCCACAATGCACACAACATAGCAATATGACTGAAACATTGTTAAAGCTATGTTAAATGCAAATCACACACACATACACACACACACACACTCTCTCCCCCCTACCTTATGAAGTGTTTTCATTTTCATATTTTTTTACCACTGGTATATTCCTACAATATGAATTATATTTTTATATTTTTTAGCACTCATTATACACCTACAATATAAATTAAATTTAAGAATAATTTTTACCAAAGATTATATTCTTACGTAATGAACTATATTTTTATATTTTGTATGACCAATTATATTCTCTTTCAATACAAACTACATTTTAAATAATTTTCTACCTCCAATTTTGCTCCAGAAATATGAACTGCATTTATTTTCTTCTAAAGAGAAAATGTGTGGGCAAAAAATTTAAATTGTAGAATGCCAGTTCATTGCAATATAAGCAGACAATTTATGACTTCACATTCAAATATTTTTATGTTATTTAACTTTCATCACTGTCCCACCCTTTGGCAAATGTTTGCTTACATCAGGCAGAAACAACTAATCATTAATGTTCCTAAATTACATACCCCACAGCTGTTCATTTTTCTGACCTTTGGTCAAATTTGACCAGTCATCCATGTTTAGTTATTGTTTAGTGAAACACAGGTCTACAACCTTATTTTGTAGCTGATTCTATTTTATCTGAGCTTTTTGGGCCTTAAGCCATGTTGTCCACTTTCATTTAGCCATGTTGTCCACTTTTATTTAGCTGTGATGTCCACTTTCATAACCAATCTTTACTGTTAAATATTGATATCATTTTGATTTAGCCTCTAGTGTTTGGTTAGGATTATGACACAAGTGGTTTTTCCTATTGTTGGAGCAAATATTTGCCCCTTGTTACCAGTGTTAGTGGATACTTAATGTGGCTGTACTGTTAGAGCTTGAAGCTTTTGTCCCCTCAGTTTTTGCTCCTATCAGATAGCCAGTTGCCTAAGGGATAAATGTGTTCATCCTTTTGTAGGTGACACTATGGAAAAATAAGCCTTTAGCTTCAGGTCAAGGTAATCAGTCCTTAGTATTGGATAATAATTTACACTGTAAAAGAAAAAATAATTTACATAGTGTAGAGGTGTTATAAACTATAATAGTTTTCAGTGTAAAAAGCAAAGTAATTTACATACAGTGTAGAGGTGTTATAAATTATAATAGTTTGCAATGTAAAAAAAACAAAATAATTTACATACAGTGTAGAGGTGTTATAAATTATAATAGTTTGCAATGTAAAAAAAACAAAGTAATTTACATACAGTGTAGAGGTGTTATAAATTATAATAGTTTGCAGTGTAAAAAACAGTAATTTACATTCAGTGTAGAGGTGTTATAAATTATAGTAGTTTGCAGTGTAATAAACAAAGTAATTTACATACAGTGTAGAGGTGTTATAAATTATAATAGTTTGCAGTGTAAAAAACCAAGTAATTTACATACAGTGTAGAGGTGTTATAAATTATAGTAGTTTGCAGTGTAAAAAACAGAGTAATTTACATTCAGTGTAGAGGTGTTATAAATTATAGTAGTTTGCAGTGTAAAAAACAAAGTAATTTACATTCAGTGTAGAGGTGTTATAAATTATAGTAGTTTGCAGTGTAAAAAACAAAGTAATTTACATACAGTGTAGAGGTGTTATAAATTATAATAGTTTGCAGTGTAAAAAACAAAGTAATTTACATTCAGTGTAGAGGTGTTATAAATTATAGTAGTTTGCAGTGTAATAAACAAAGTAATTTACATACAGTGTAGAGGTGTTATAAATTATAGTAGTTTGCAGTGTAAAAAACAAAGTAATTTACATTCAGTGTAGAGGTATTATAAATTATAGTAGTTTGCAGTGTAAAAAACAAAGTAATTTACATTCAGTGTAGAGGTGTTATAAATTATAGTAGTTTGCAGTGTAAAAAACAAAGTAATTTACATACAGTGTAGAGGTGTTATAAATTATAGTAGTTTGCAGTGTAAAAAACAAAGTAATTTACATACAGTGTAGAGGTGTTATAAATTATAGTAGTTTGCAGTGTAAAAAACAAAGTAATTTACATACAGTGTAGAGGTGTTATAAATTATAATAGTTTGCAGTGTAAAAACACTGCATAGGATGAGGAAAGATGCTATCTGGTAAAGAAGGATGTGCTATAAGTAATTTGACATTATTACTCTGTGTGTGTGTGTGTGTGTGTGTGTGTGTGTACTAGGTGGTCATCCATTCCATAAGAAATCTTCATGCTGTACATAGAAAACTAAATATTTTTTTTATAGAAAAACTAAAAAAATGAATTCTAAATTTAAATTTTTATTATTTGTATACTAAAACTTTAATCATAGTGTGGATATATTTATATTCTTATATTTATATAATGACGCAAAAGAGCAATGAAAAGAAGTCTTTTTGTTTGATATGGATCACTGAAATTACTCAACTAAAAACTATTTAAATGATGTGTGTCTGAATGGAGAGGATTGAATGGTATATCAACACTATCCAGGCTATTTGGTGCTATTGAAGTTTAGGTATCCCATTAAAGTACATAAGGATAAAACAAACAGTATTAAGCATTTCTCCTTGAGACATTGAGAACATGACCTCATTTATTGTTGGAGATGTGTTTTGTTATAATTAATTTAATAATGTAGAATATAATTCAAAGTTCATTGAAGTAAATTAATTGGTCTAATTAATTAAAAAGTCAGCTGATGAAAAGACTCTTTTCAAATAGTCAGACATTGAATTAATGTTTGCCTCACATTGGAAGACAAAGTTCATCTCTAACATTGGTAGACATGGGGTACAGACAAAATTCCTCTCAGGAGAAAATCACCCCCACCCCCAAGCAAAATAAAAAAAATAGGACACAATCCTCTTTCTCTGTCTAAGTTTTTAAACTTTCTAAACATCACAAATGTACTGGCCTATTTTAAAATGGGGTTAGGTTAAAAAAAAAGAATAAATGTGGTATATCAAAAGTATGCCTTGTATATCATTTAGTTGCACAATTTCATGTTTGTCTAGTAAAATTATGTCTTAATGCATCTTGAAATAATTGTCAAATACATTAAATCTCAGTACTTATGAAAGGGAGGTGACATCACTAAAACAATAGCAGCTGTAGGTCAAATATGTCAAATCACTAAAACAATAGCAGCTGTAGGTCAAATGTCAAATCACTAAAACAATAGCAGCTGTAGGTCAAATATGTCAAATCACTAAAACAATAGCAGCTGTAGGTCAAATATGTCAAATCACTAAAACAATAGCAGCTGTATTTCATCAAATAATGTAACACAAATTGAGTGAAATGGAAAAAACGTAATGTTATAAATAGAAGGATTAAAGTAAAATGCTACAAGATGTTTGAAAAAATTCACAAATAATTTGTTAACTTTTCTTTTGGTACAAGATATTTCACAAATCTTAACCATACACACAGCAGCAGTACAGACTTTTTATTCCAGTAAAGAAATGTGGAGTCTTTATTGATTTGTATGGCCAGATTTGTGGTAAAAATGGTATTTGTCACCATGGAAATGATAGAGATGGTCCCAATTAACTATCTTGAAATTGTTTGTTTATTTAAGCTGAGGTATTGCATAACAGGTAGAATCCAATCCCCTGGACAAAAACTCATTTGTGTATATGGCTGTGAATGGTATCTTCTAAGCCCAGTGATTTCTTTGGTGGTTAGTGATTTGGATGTTTATTGTCTGTCATTTTCATCAGCATTGTCATTATTGTAATCATTGCCATGGTCATTATCATGACTACTACCACTATCACCACCACATCATTCTGACCACCAATGCTCATCATGATCAGAAATCACCATCTGCAGCAGCACTAACATCTTTATCAGCTTTCTTGCCACCATTGTTTCCATTGTTGCCTTTGTCACCACCACCATGATAATGCTAGGGTTGTTGCATCTGTTTTGTGTTGTCTTTGTCAGCATTTGCTTTTTTTTCAATATCTCCAAAATCTTTTAACAAAACTCAGTGCTGATCTGCAATCAAATAATGGCCATGGTTAGAAAAATAAAAACCTTTAAACACCTTGCAACAAGAAATGATAAATAGAAATATTACATAATGTATCAAGCTGGAAGGCATTTAAATTTATGTAAAAGATGCTTGTCTTCCACCAGATATGGACCTCATTACTAAAAATGAAACAAAAAAAACATGTAAACATTGCTTTAAGAAAAGGTTCAATATTATTTGATCTTATCTCATCATTGAAGCCTTTCAGTAATGTGAGAATGCTATTGAAGTGCCATCAGAGATGGTGAAGCTACAAAAAATAAAAGATAAACCTTGTAAACATCTTAATAACAATATGCATGTGACAGCATTGGAAGAAATTTCTTGAGTAAAAACTGTATAAATCCCAATTCCAAAGTCAGCTTTTCTTGAATTTGGCTACTAGGCAGATGACAGCCAATTTGGCCCACTTGGGACTCTTGTAGATTACCATAACTGTCAAAACATCTTTCAACACAACACCATCCTGTGAACTACTCAAAAAAATTTTAAGCAATATTTCATTGTATGAATTCAATTAAAGCCTTATTGAAATTTTGGAGTTTTGCGTATACATACATGATGCAGATTAATTCATATTCTGGAATAGAACAAAAATTATGGTCTATTCCCCATTAAATACCCTCTAGATGCAGTTGCCTATACCTGCATATATATATATATATATATATATATATATATATATATATATATATATATATATATATATATATATATATATATATATATATATGAATGAAAGGTTATGTAGAAAGGTTGCAGCATATGGTGATGAAATTTACCAAGATTTTCAT